AATGTACCCTCCCCATACTCCACATTAGAATCTAGCTAAACCTGTTCTCCACAATAGTAATTAATATCAACAATAAGTATAAATCCTTAATTACTATAATTAGAGCATACCCATATGATAGTTACTAGGTTAAATGCCAATTAATTATTGAAAATATGTGTTTACCTTCAAAATACATATTTGACTCAGTGACAAGGAACTGGGAACTGTGCTATCTAGAAAATATAAACTAAGAGTCTACTACACTACCTTTGATGACGGAGAGGTTCACTGTGATTAGGCTACTGGGAATGAATTTCAGAATGGCCTCTCCAGGAAGAGGAAGTTGGGATGCATAGTTTTCTTATAGTTGCAATAATCTCAAAAAAGATAAAAACCAAGGAATCCAGCCCTGACCTCTATGGTCTAATAATACAAGCTTAGAGTAGAAATCTGGAAACCAGGATATATATCACAATTGTTGATTTTGCAGAATTGGAGCTTTAGAAAATATTTTGAGCTCTTCCTGAGTCTGCATCCCCCTTTGGTGAAGACGATACTGCTGAACACAATCACAAAGATTTTTTTTTAAGTATTAGAAAAATGAAGAGACATTTGATTTTCACCACCAAACTCTGTATGTCACCAATTCTGCATGTCTTCCATTTTCTTTTTCCGAGTCTGCCTTGAAACAATTACTACGCAGTATAGAATCTCGAATAATTTATGAGCATTACATATTGGTTCTCAGACTGGAAAAATGGATAAACCTGGGCATTCCTTAATTTTATAAAGCATAAGCATTATTGTAGTAGCTTTAATTAATGATTTATCTTATTACCGCTGCTAGTGAGAAAATAATCATTTAAGGATTTTGTTTCTACTGTCTCTAGTTCTCAGCAAATGCTAGAGCTAGAGACTTGCTGTTTTTGCACTGGTTTGAGATGACAAGCCACCATTACTTACAAGCAATTTGGACTTCATTACAAATTGATGAAGTGATAATTGCTCTCTGTAACCTTTTATGTGCAAAGAATGCTGGTGCTGTTTGCATTATCTTTTTGCAATTTATACCTCTGTATTCAAGGACTTGTGATAGCTTGCCAAATGTTAAACTACACTGAGATCTTTATAATTAAAATCATATTTTATGTCAAATTATGAAAATCTCTACATAATACGTTCTGTTTGATGTCTACTAAAATGCTGTTCATTGCAGAAGAAATTTGCGAATGATTCATCAAAGTAACAATCTCATCCATTCTTATAAGGAAATCTTGGTCTATAAAATGTAAAGTCAATTGGTTTATTTTCAAATAATATTGTCATGATCTAACTTTCTATAAGATGGTCCCCAAAAGCATTTATTCTCTGGAGTTTTTGCTAGCTCAGTACTTTACAATGCCATTGTAGAACCAATGTAAAGATAATTGTGGATTCCATATAACAATGGCTTTAATACCAGAAATTTTTAAAGTAAACAGATTCTTTTACTTTTTACTCTTTTTTCTGATATTAAACTTATACACTATTTTGTTTTGAATGTGACTATTATTATAAGCACCTCAGTGTAAAATCCTTAGAACTGAGACTCTCATATACAGTTTACTTCTTAAAAGCTCCCTATATAACACATAAATACACTGGATGTTTGAAAATGATATATTGGCGATTATTAAAAATACAATATGAATCTTTTTCCTATATTAAGATACAAAAAATCTTGTATATTACTCCTAGGGTTCTCTAAAAGAGTCCCATTTTGTTCCTTTGTTGGACCTTGGGTGTGATGATAAAATCAGGCCAATTTTGCCTCCAGAAAATGAGTATCTATCTTGTATTCTAGATGCTGAATGATCAAGTTTATTAAATGAGTAATAATTTTTACTTGTTTCATTTTTTTGTAAGTTGGCACATGAACTAG